GCAATATTCCTTACACCAAAAAACAACGCATTCTTACTTACCTTTCTTACTACATCCACAATAATACCCCATTGTCTCCATGTAAGTCCTAACTAAACCTCATATGTACAATTCGTACATAGCGAAGATCCCATCCGAATAATTATCATGAAAGTATTTATAGAAAAGACACAATGACATCACTTACGGTCGTGGGAAAGTGACTGAAGCCGAGCCGCCAGATCAGGGCCGATAATATTGTTGATTCTTCTTTGGGTTTTATCAAGGAGCTCGTGGTAAATATCAGGGCCACCGGACCATATGTGGCAGCAATATTCTAAGCATGGATGAATGGTAGATTTATAGATATGTATGATAGATTCTAGAGAGAAAAATTGTCTCGCCCGACATAGTGAACTGACTTTCTTAGCAGCTGACCTAGCAATGAATTCAATGTAGTCTTTCCACTTAGCCAGAGAATCACTTTCCTCTACTTATTTATATGTGAACCGTCACACAACTACAACACTCCAAAATTCAAAGTTTAAATCCTATAAGCCACGTTTAAAATAATCAAAATATACTAAATGCTTAATTCACCGCTTCTCAAACTTTAAATCCAATATGTCCCCCGTCCCCTGAACCTCTCCCTGTGCACGTAATGGTAGTTTTGTGTCCTCAAGTTTGAGACCCCTGACAAAGAGATTTCTATTTAACCTTTTAGAATATAATTTTGTATACCACTTCTTACCTACAGACATTTGATAAACTAATATAAATTGGAGATTGTTTGATACATTTGCTCGATAGCTGCACTGGTTTTGTTCACACGCAGTCATTTAATCTCTTCATATCAAGCAACCCAACAGATAAGCCTGCCAGTCAAATATTGTCGACACGGAATACGTAAGGATATAGATAAAGAATAAAAGATAATTGCTTACTTGTAGGCTTTTTGCACACAACCTTTTTGAGAGATTGCGCAATTTTGGGAAGTTCGTCGAAAGTCTTTGTTTGGAAGAGATCTTCAGGGCGTGAGACGATTCTTTGAAGGTTGGCCTGATTAAGACGTGTTCCAATTCCTATGACGAAGATATTGACCTTAAGTCCTTTAAGAAGCATACTAGCCGTAATGGTCTCTTGTAAATCGATTGTGTCTCCATCGGTGACTATTATCAAAACCTGTCAACAATCAAAGAATCGATCAGTCATTAATCAATGAATGTTTCAAATTAATTAATAAATCACAGATATGAAAAAAAAAAAACTGACATTAATAGATAGACACGAAGGAAATTAAATACATAAAAGATCTGAAGAGACTAGGAGAGATAAATATAAATAGACAAGAATATATATATATATATATATATATATATATATATATATATATAGAGAGAGAGAGAGAGAGAGAGAGAGAGAGAGAGAGAGAGCAGTAGATATATATAAATAAAGGTACAGGTTTAAATAGACTGAGACAGAGAGATAGATGGATATAAACAGAATGAGCAATATATAAAATATAAACAAACTGAGATAGATAGACATGAATAGACCGAGATAGATAGATACATAGATAGCCAGACAGATATATAAACATATATACAGAAAGAGACGAACAGATAGATAATTATATAGAGAGACATGAATACACTGATAGATAGATAGATAGATATAAAGACATAGATAAATTGATAGATATGAACAATCCGAGATAGATATATATGAAAAGTTTGAGATAGACATTATATATATATATATATATATATATATATATATATATATATAGAGAGAGAGAGAGAGAGAGAGAGAGAGAGAGAAAGAGATAGATAGATAGATATAGATATATAGATAAATAAACAGACAGACAGATGCATATAGATACAGTACTGTGTAAAAGTTAAGTCAACCCCTAAGATAATATTTTTTAAAAATTGTTTCTTTTTTCCAGATAATCAACAACTAATAATTAAACACTATATTCATTAAGAAAAACCTTTATTAAACGAATTACAACCACCGTCAAAGATTTTTATCAAACTAGAATAAAATATTAATTCAAAATTAAGATGTGCAAAAGTAAGTGAATTTTTGTGCAAAAGTGGAGTAACTGTTAAAATTACTGGGTTTTAAAGACACAGCTAATAAAACCCAGTAATTTTAAAAGTTACTACAAAATTCGCTTGGTGATGGCTTCTTTTTTTCTGATAGACTACCTGGAAAAAGGGAAAAACTATTAATGGACGGTACTATTTATTAGAATTAAGTGAATTGAAGGAAGCAATCAACTCGAAACGTAGATGAAAGTTGAGGGCAGGTGTGCTCTTGCTCCAGGATAACGCGCCCGTTCACACTGCCCAGGTTGCAGCAGATGAAGCAGCGAACTTTGGCTTTAAATTGCTACCCCATCCGCCTTACTCACCATGCTTAGCTCCATCTGTTTTCTTTCTGTTTCCTAAACTCAAATTCAGTCTACGTAGTCGCTATTTTGGAAACAATGATGAGATCATGCACCCTTTGTGCAAATTAATTGAAACAAGACGAATAATTCCGTTGTTATTTACTTATTTTTCGCATTTTTTCAATGAAATATGACCGAGTGCACATGTTAGTACTTCGTATGTCCATTCCACGAAGTCATTCCTTGCAGATTGACCACACATCCTCGACTGGATTTAAATCAGGAGAGTTTCCGGGCTAATCTATAGTACTTTTATTTGCTCACTTGAAAGGCTTGCCAGTGTGTTCGTGCAGCGTTACAATTTTCGTACGCTTTCTTGGAGTAATTTCCATCGCAGACAATGGCCGTAAGACAACTAATCGACAGTTCAGACAATAGTGTTTGGCGTGATGAAAATCTGATGCCATCACGGATCATACAATATTTTTCAAAGCCAAATTTCATCATACACACATTCATATTACTGCACACCACTGTAAATGGTTGAATCTGAGGAAAAATAGAAATCGATTACGCCCTGGCAGTCCAGTGGTTCTAAATCTGACCGTATGGTGAAAGAAAGGAAACTAAAGCGGTTGTTTGAATTAATTTACGCAAGGGTGTATGTGCTGTGAAGGAGTTTTCAAGGACCAGGATGCCACACCGGATAATTGACAATGAAAATAATAATAACTGTTTATTTATTAGATTATTTAAACTATTTTATAGTGTTTATTTGAATGGTGGTCAAAATATCTAATAATTGCCAATTGATTCGAACTTTATAAAATGGTAAATAATAAAGATTTCATTATAATTGGTTCACATATTTTAATAATTTAGTAAATGTTTATAAATTTATGAATAAAAATTTTCATATTTTTTTCTTTATAAATTGGTAAATGATAAATATTGCATTATTTCTAATTGTATTAGTTTTGAGAATATTTTAATATTTAATATATATGTTGTAATATCTCTTTGGCAATATTTATTGTTTTAAAAAGAGATAATTAGAATTGTAATAAAACCTAAATATATAAAAGTGAAGTTATATATTTTCTTTGTTCTTGAGAATTGATAACAAAAATAAATAAACACTATTTATTAGATTGTTTATTTACGCTATTTATTATAATGTTTATTGGAATGGTTGTCAAAAAAGCAGGTAACTGACAATTGATTCGAACTTTATAAAATGGTAAATAATAAGGATTTCCTTATAGTTGGTCTACATATTTTAATAATTTAGTAAATATTTATAAATTTATGAATAAATTTTTTTTCTTATTTCTTTATAAATTGGTAAACGATAAATATTGTATTGCATTTGTCTTAATAAGATTGCATTCATTTTTAGAATGTTGTAAATATAAAATTATTGTTGTAAATAAACAATCTAATAAATAAATAGTGTTTAAGATTTTTGTTTTAAATTCTCAAGAACAAAAAATGTATAAATTAACTTTCATCATAGGTTAAAGCTTTATTACAATTCTAGTCACCATTTTTTAAAACAATAAACATTGTCGGAGAATGAAGGTAGTTAAAATAATAGCTGTGTCAAGGGAAAGGCTGTCCTTTTGACACACTTTTATTTGCGGGCACGAATGTTGAACATTAGCTAAATGGGAATCAGTTCAAAAATAAACGGAATGTTACCTTTCTGGCTCCATTTCGGCTTCCACCAGAAGCACTAAAACCCCCGCGAATAATATGCTGCAAGGCTTTTCCTAAGAATGTCATTCCTCGGGTTGGAGAGATCTTGCCAACTGTTGAATAAATTTGGTTCTTGTTACTGGTGCTGCCAAGTTTTAGGTACGTGTGGACATCAGTGGAGAAAGTGGTCACGCCTACTTGATAGCTGCTGGGACTTAAGTCAAAGAAGCTGATGAGAAGATTGACAAACAAGAGTTCTTTTTGGAAATCGGCATCCTTTAAACTGCCTGAGTCATCGACGAGGAATATAATGTCGGTTGGCGCCGCAGAGCATTCTGTAAGAAAACAAAACAAAAAAAAAAAACTTTGTGTCAATGTCTTTCTATTACTTGTTCAAAAAAACATTTTTCTATATGCTGAGTCCCTTCAGGACCTCGCCGATCATGACTCTCCACAACTTCATGTTGCTTTCACGTTGAAAACCGGTTCCTGTACGATCAGTCCTGGGTATGACAATAAACTACATCCGGCAGTAAGGCTTCTAATCGGAGGATTGGAGGTTTTGAGGAGCGTGGAACCACCGCTTAATTGCGAATGTTCCCACGTCCACCCTGAACCGGGATGGTAGCATCGGTTTGGGTCCCAGCATTTGGTAAATAGCAAACCCCCAAACAAATCACTATGAAAGTATAAAAAGACATTTTTATAGTAAAAATGCCAGCAACACATTTGTATATATATATATAAAAAGTTAGCAGCAATACCTTTTTATAGGAAAATGACCAACAATACATTTTATCTATAGTTGAAGGCATAAAATTGCGTCCAAAATATATTTAGTTGAAGCCGCAAAATTGCTTTGAAAATATTTAGATTTCGGCATTAAATAAACCCAAGAGGTCGATATACCTCTAAACGGAATCAACCAACCAAATTCCGTACGATCACCGAAGTTAAGCAATGTCGGGCATGGTCAGTACCTTGATGGGTGACTGCTTGGGTATACCAGGTGCTATGTTTGGAGGTTCCGGTGCTAATCGGAGATTCTGGTTCCAATTCCAGTTGGATTCGTTATATTCACTTACGTGCAAATACCCTTGGGAAATGTATGAATCCAACTCTATTCCCTCCAGCTATGGGTTAATTAGAAAGGCTTTATTATTTAACCCATTATTATGACTATAAACAGGGCCGGTGCGTATTATCCCTAATCGGTGGAGGTAGCCTGATTGGAGGTCCTGGGCATTGCTTTGTAACCCTTGCTATCATATCAACATTTGCTTTTTACTACATGCTTTATTATTATTAATTTTTACAAGATAAACTATGAACAGCTCACTATTAAATGATTTTGACGTTATTCTGAGGTCTTTTTTGTACGAATTATTCAAATTTTAACACGAAAAATCTCACATTGATGTTATAAAGTAGCCTCAAAACATTGTTGATTTTTTAAAGATGGGAAGATCTATTATAACATATCTCTAATTTGTATTTAGATACATTGTATTTATTTCAATTTTTATAGTTGAATTCTTCGCCTATATTGCATATGATTCGTTATGCTTACGTTACAATACAATTTGCCTCCTGGGTATGACGATAAACTCCATCTGGGAGCTAGGACACTGATCGGAAGGTTTTGAGGCGTATGGAAACACTACTGAATTGTTGTCGTTCCCAGGTCCAACCCGACTCGAGACGGTAGTACCTGTTAGGGACCCAACTATGGATAAATAGTTAACCCCCAAACTGGGACCAAAACACAATGAAATTATAAAAATAGATTTTTATAGTAAAAATACGAGCAATAAATTTAACTAAAACAAATACCAGCAATTTATTATATTTTTATAAAAGAAATTATCAATGCTCCCAAGAAAATTCAATTTCGGCATTAAATGACACCTAAGGAGTTGATACGCTGTTAAACAAACAATACAATTTGTATTTTATATATATACTACCTTATGAAAATTGAGGTGTAGTACAGTGAGGGGGGCGTAACATAGATTAGAGGCTCACGAGACCCTTGCATCGGTCTGACTATAAACCTTATTTTAGTGGGTACATGTGTTTTATTAAACAGTAAAATTGTATATGCACACGCATATATGTGTGTCTCGTTGAGTACACACACATACAGATACACATTGCTCCTCTGTGTTAAGTATTGTGCGTTTAGGCTTTCCGTTTATCAAATGCTTTTTATGTTACGGCATAGAGATCTATTTGAATTGCTAAGAAAACTTTTATATTTATATATATATATATATATATATATATATATATATATATATATATATATATATGAATGTAATGGGAATGAAAAGAATATGAATTCAAACGTTCATAGCAACATGTTAAGATGCATCGAAACAAAAATTAATTCTGCCTTTCTTGTATGGCTAAACAACTCACTGATTTTGAGCGTCAATTTATCCTACTTTTCAAAGAAGAACATCCGACGGGGCTGAATGACGAAAGAAAATTAATAAAAAACATTCTGAATAATAATAATAATAATAATAATAATAATAATAATGATAATAATAATAATAAAATGGGTGCCACTTTAGCGTGTGTCCTACCGATGAGTTTCTGATTTAGTGTGTATCCTGCCACCACATTTGTATCTTAAATTATTAAAACATTGTCCCGATTTTTTTCTCGATATTTTCAAAGACATTCAGAATGGTTTTATTTAAAGGATTCAAATATCTTGTTTTATGATTTTTAGTCAAATTTTTTATTTTATATATTTTTTATTTTAAATTTTATAATACAACAATAAATGACTTCCCTTCTTCCTTTTTTGCTTTTCCCCTTACGTAGGATACAAATTTGGTGGTACGACGCACGCTAGAGTGCTTGTTCCATCTTTGTTCTCTGTTTATCGAATAATAATAATAATAATAATAATCAGTTAATTGCCATACGCGATGCACGCTTGGGCGATCAATTATCTTTCGATATATGACTGACGAGGCAGATTTTTTCGTGCAGCCGGTTGCTATTTCATTCTGCTAAAGACTAAAGAACCCAGTCTGTCCTGCTATTCAACCAATAGCTGGGGGGTGAGGAGATAGATTCATACCAAGTGTATTTGGGCGTAGGTGATTCTAACGAACTCGGATGGAATTCGAACTTGGCTCTCCAAGTTCTCACTCCCAGCTGATATCCATTACACCACATCATCATCATCATAATAATAATAATAATAATAATAATAATAATAATAATAATAATAACAACAACAACAACAACAACAATAATAATAATAATAATAATAATAATAAAGGTAGAATTAAGAATAATTATACAGGTATCCGCTATTTTCCCGAAAGTAGATTGTATCTATGAAACCATTCGTTGACTAAAATAGAGTAGAGCGTGGAGCGCAAGTTATATCAGAAAAAAAATTGAGTGTTCCCAGACCTCAAAATAACCTTGTGCGAGATTTTCGCCGCGATTAACAGTTTATTTATATTTACAAAAAAAAACACCCCCCACAAAAAATCCCCAAAAAACCCCAAAAAACAAAACAAACAAAAACGAATGACATTGATTTTGGGATGGGTACATTAGCTGATGGCATGTTTAAATGTCAATAAATATATCGCTATGTTACAAAAATACGCGAGAGTAACTATACACCACATCACGCCTAGCAGAAGATGAACCTCGACTTTCGACATCCAGTTAAGTTCATATAGAAGAAATTGGGGTGGGGGACTTCGTACAGTTAAAAACGATTCTTTTTGTTGTTTTATTTTATCAAACCTGTAGTAATATGATGGCAAATGATAATGCGTACTCACGTGTGTTGGCTTCCACATTTGTGTTCATAGAAAAGAAGAGACAACTGGCGAAAAGTAATAAAAAGTTCAACATGGTTGGAGCGTCTTCGGTTTTAGGTTTATGTCGGTGGGCCGTCAATAATCTATGTACTTATAAAGTGATATTGCGACTTAGTTGAGAATAATAATAAAAAAAAACAAAAAACAAAAGAACACCTGAGAAACAATCAGGTGGGCTGATAAGACGTTTGGAGAAACAGGAAAAAAGTGAAAAGTGTGTCAACTCTAGAACGGTAAACCTATTGTATGGCAAATGCGGATGGTACATTCGGATCAATCAGACACTTAAATGATAAAAAATACCGGAAAAAATGCTTCTGTTTTGCTTTCTATTTTTTTAATCATACTTTCAATATTGCACAATATTTTGGGGGCAATTTTTAAACTTTGTACCTGCAAAAAATGTTGCTTTAAAATAACAGTTATCCTCTTGACTCTCTCGGCAATGTTTATTGCTTTAAAAAAGTGATGATTACAATTTTAATAAAATCCAAACATTAAAGTGGATTTAGACATTTTCTTGAGAATTAACATCAAACATGTTACACTAGGTACCTTCATGAGATCGCTAAAAAAGAGCATACCATGATGAAAAAGGCGCCAAACTTGACGAAAACAAAATTTTATCGTCTAAATGTTCATGTTATTATTAAGAGAAAAGATCAAAGTATTTTGGGAGTATTTTTTTTTTACATTTTTTAATCGTTTCTCGCACGTCCGAAATTTTCGTTAAAAATCTTTTTTTTTTTTTGAGTCAGCAAAATTGACATATAATCAATCATGGCATCCATTTTTTTTCCATTTTACAAAAAAAAAAAAAAATAAAAAAAAAATGAAAATCTCAGTTTGAAATTCTTTTAAAAACTTATTTTAAGAAAATCAGAAATTATAATGTTTATTTAAAATATTTTGAACCAAGCTTAACTTAGCTTTTGCGCTGGAAAGATGTAATTTGAAAATAAAACAAAGCAGGTTATAAACTTTCGCATCATTTGACAGGTGTTGAATAACGTATTGACGGATTACGTGAGGATAATTTGTTCTACGAAAGGAGAAAAGTGAAGTTATTTAGATTTAAGTGAACAAATTATTTACCTCGTTATTTTTAAGGAAAACTTTCAGCGCTCTAATTTTCTTTTTGTACTTAGCTTTCACCTTTACGTTTACGATGCTTTATGGAAAATATATTATAAAGAAATTAAAATAAGACTGTTAAGAGTGAGATTAAATTTCATAAGAAAGGTACCTAATTAATTTATACCGTCTGAGTGAAATACGGAGAAAATCTGGCTGCTTCATTCCATGGACGAAGCACCAGACAAAGTAGACTCTTATTTATATCGGCCAAAGGAAAACGAAAAAAAAAAAAAAAAAAAAAAATTGAAAAATATGAATTTTCTTTGTTCTTAAGAATTGACAACAAAAATAATAAACACTATTTATCTATTAGATTGCTTATTTGCTGTTTATTTTTTATATTGTTTTATGGAATGGTTGTCAAAATATTGACCAATTGATTCGAACTTTATAAAATGGTAAATAATAAGGATTTCCTTATAGTTGGCTCACATATTTTAATAATTTAGTAAATGTTTATAAATCTATGAATAAAAATTGTTTTCACATTTATTTCTTTATAAATTGGTAAGTGATAAATATTGCATTGCATTAGTTTTAATTGTATTAGTTTTTAGAATGTTGTAAATTTAAAATTATTTTTGTAAATAAATAATCTAATAAATAAATAATGTTTAATATTTTTGTTTTAAATTCTCAAGAACAAAAAATGTATCAATTAACTTTCATCATATGTTTAGGTTTTATTACAATTCTAATCATCGCTTTTTAAAACAACAAAAAATGCCGTGGGAGTGAAGGTAATTAAAATAAAAGCGGTGTCATGGGAAAAATCGTCCTTTTGACACTCCGTTTTTTGCGGTCATGCCAAATTGCCCACCACAAACTCAGTGTGCTCGTCCTAAATGTAGAGCTTGTATTAACCGCACTGAAGACACAATTTATAAATTAAAAACCAGGACAAAGTTTTTTTTTAAATCATTTCACCTGATCATCAAAACATATAATATATGCCATTGAATATAAAGGGCGTAACGAAGATTAGGGCAAACCAAACTCAGCCTCAGAAATAGAATT